TTTGGTGTGGAGTCTTTGTGATTTTCTAGGAAGGCCATTGTATCATCTGTGAACCAAAACTAGTTAATTCCTTTCTTTCTGTATACATTTTACTTCTTTTTCTTGCCTTATTGCACTGGCTAGGACTTCTTCCAGTATGATGTTTAATAGTAGTGGTGAGAGCAGTCATCCTTGCTTTGTTCTAGATCTTAGGGAAAAAGCTTTCAGTTTTTTTATCTTTAAATGTGTTGTAACATGTAAATTATTTATAGATGCCCTTTATCAAGTTAAATAGGTTGTTTTTCTCTTCCTAGTTTGATGAGTTTTTATCACAAATGGATGTTAAATTTTGTCAAATGCTTTTTCTGCATCTATTGAGATGGATCATATGGCTTTAAATTTTTTTTTAGTTTGTTAATATGATTAGTTATACTGAGTGATTTTCACATGTCGAGCCAGCGTTGTATTCCTGGGATAAACTCAGGTTGATTCTGATTTGTTATTCCTCTTATATGTTGCTGGATTCAAATTGCTAATATTTTGTTGATGATTTTTGTGTCTATGTTCATGAGGAACATTTGGTTGTAGTTTTCTTTTTTTGTAATGTCTTTGTCCGGTTTTAATAAAGCTGGTGTCACAAAGTGAGTTGGGACTTTTTCCTAATTTTTAAATGATGAAAAAATAACTTATAGAGTGCTTACCATATTCCAGGCATTGCGCTCAGTGCTCAGCCCTTTTAATCTTCACAGCAACCCTATGAAGTGTAGACTATTCTTATAATCACCCCCAGTTTAAACAGAGAAACTGAGGCACAAACTGGTTAAAGTCACTAGCCCAAGGTCACATAACTTGTAAGCAGCACAGCCAGGACTCAGACCCCAGAGGTCCAGCTCCAGAGTGTGTCCCTTTAACCTGTTTATTCCATTTTCTCTCATTAAAAATGTTTACAAGGTAAAGAAAACATATCTGCAGGCCTCAGTCCAGCTGACAGGTCACCAGTTTTCTACTTCTACTGAACAACAATGGTAACTACCATGCGTCAGGCTTATTTACTATCTGCCAGGCTACAGACTCATCATCTGCCTTCATCTTGCACCAACCCTCAAAGGCAGATGTTACAGATGTTATCATCCTCACTTGGCAGTGGCGGAAATGCATCCTTCTGCTGGGCAGCATTCAGTTTCAAACCATCATCTCTTTCCTCACCTTGTCTTTCTGCACATCCATGGCACTCTTTAGAAGGTAATTTTTAAAAAATCTCTCAAGTCTCAGTTTAATTTCACGCTGCTCCTTCCTTATCAAGCTGGTTCACCTATCCTCCCTCTCACTCTCTTCCCCCAGGGGCTCAAGTTCATCATTTTCTCCTGCGTTGCTGTCTCTTTTGCACTGTCTCATTCCAGTTGGCCCAATGAGTGTCCCAATCCTTCCTTTTTGGCTCTGCTGACTTATTTTGTGTGTCTCAAGAAGTGAGAAACATCTCGCTTACTTAGAAAGGAGGAGGAAAGAGGGAAAGAGGTGGAATTTTAGGAACAGGTGGGACACCGATTTTCTCCACGGAGCACAGAAATGAGGGACCGAGGTTAGTTCAAACAACTGCCTGGCGGTAATGAAGGCAAAGCCACACAATGAAATTGCACTGCTTGCTTTATTGCACTGTTTAATAAGACAGTATGTTTGCATGCTGACCTGACTGTGCGACCATAAGATGCTCCGTTTTTCTGAGTCTCAGTTTGTTCACTGTAAAATGAGTTCGAAGACAGGCATAGGTCACAGAGGTGTGGCAGGGATTAAGTGCAATAATATAGGTGACAGAGATCCGGTATGGAGAACTCACTGAGTGAGGAATAAGTGCTTTTCTCAGACAAGGCACTGTGCTAAGTCATTTTTACATAGATGATCTTATTTAATATATACCACCTGTGTGGGTAACAGGTACTGCTGTTACCCCCATTTTGCAGATGGGGAAAATTATGGTGGAGAGAGGTGGAGAGTTCTTAAGTGGTGAAGCTGTACCCATATTTTGCATTAGAATTCCTTCGATCCTACACCAACCAGTTAAAAATTAGACTGTTTGGGGCAATCCCCTAGCTCTTCCTCCCAACCTAGAGACTGAAGGTAGTCAGAGACATCCACCACGTTCCTGTGATACTAGCTCTGCTGTTGCTAAACATTCAGGCGCTCCCCATCCATCCCTCAGTTCCCACCCACGTCTCCAACCACTACTGCGAGAATTTGGGAAACTTGGGGTGAGTCCACTGCCAGGAATAGTGATTCATTTAAAATCTCAGTTTTCAACAATATGAGCAAGGCCTGCGGTCTGTTACTCCACACCCAGCAAAGCTGCGTCTCCCAGTCAGTGGTGGACTAATGAGAGTTTGCTAATTGCTGGTGGCTGGGGAGGGGAGGTGATGGGTGGGGACCACTGTGGTGAGCTCAACACGCGGAGTTACATGCTGACCTGAATGCTTTATTCTGTGTATCTCAGTCCCTCCTCTGGTCACTGGTGGGGCTGATCAAGCAGACCCCCCTCCTTACGACCTGATCGGCTTCATAATAACTATGACTGCAGCCGTGCAGTGTCAATCAATGAATGTCAGGCCCCAAGGCGAGCGTTTCACTTGTGCCATCATCTCCAGCAACATCCTGACTTCTCAACACCACTCCAGGGGATAGCTATTCTCCTAATTCCCACTTTACAGTTGTGGAAACTGAGGCACAGAGACATTAAAAGCCTGCAACCTAACCCCAGCAGAACCCGGATTAACACTCACTCTTCATTGCCAGGACATACTTGTCTCCCCTTATGGTTTTAAGAGAATGACTTAAAGAATTCACCTTTGAACCAGCCTTGTGGGCTGTTAACGAAACTGCTAACAGACCGAGGCTTTTGGATAAGCCTGGCCTCCCCAACCATTCTTCTCTAGGTTGCTAGGTCCTTATGCATCCATCTTTTGCCTCTGGAATCATGTGCTTCCATCTGGGAGCTCCTGGAACTCAGAGACTGCATCCTAGGAGTCTTTGTGTCCTTTTGTCACCCAGTTAATACTTGGCATACCACAGTGGCCAAAACTATTAGTTGAGGATATGAAGACGTCAACAACAGCCAAATCCTAACCCTAGCTTCATGCTTTTAAGTTCTCAAGCTCTGGGCTAAGCCTGTGGCTAGCACAGTGCCTGGCATACGGTAGATGTCAATGCTATGTGTTAGGAAGGCCCTAACTGGCATAGGAGTTGGGACGTGAAGGTGTGAGGTACGTTGGCTTCCACCTTGAGGTCTTTGAAGGTCTAAGCTTTTCCTCATTTTCTTCATCCTCTTGTCCCTGCTTTGAACTCTTGAAGGGTCAACCTCTGCTTGTCTTTGTCTCTGTCCCTTAAATGGTTTCATTAGAAAAGCCTGGGATAGTGAGTGAGTGGCTACCTCACTCGGTAGAAGAGGTGCAAGGGTGGGTGGATTGTGGGGTGGGGGGGCGTTCTGATGGGAATGCTGAGGGGGAAAGAGGTTCTGACACTTTTCCGGTTCAGCAAGCATCACCAAATAACCAACCTTCTCAAAAACTCATTTCCCAAAGCAGTGCTCTGGGGAGAGAAGCTCCGAAGGGCTGAAGAGGGGAGGTAGAACCTGGACTGAGATCAATCCCAGCTCAAGGTAATTACAGGACATGTGCTACCACCCTGGCAGGGCAAATCAGAGGCTGAGCTGCTCTCCTAGGGCAGTCGGGGCGATTAGTTAGGAATAAAAGCCTCATCACGGACTGGGGGAGAGAGGCTCACACATTAGTAAACTTGCTCTTTCTCATGCCTGCCAAATTCAAGAGGGGGGATTTATTGAAGCAATCTCATCAGGGGCCCTGACTGCCAAGTTGAATGTTTTGGAAAGGAAATCTCAGCCAGGGTCTCAGAAATCCAGCTCCCAAGTTCCCAGGATAGCAAGATGCTAAGGTTCGCAGACTAAGAGATGACTAGCGAGATGATGCTAAGATTTTAGGGTGTACACTGGATTTTTTTCCTCTCTTTATCTCCGCTTCTTTCAGTCCCTCTCTCCTCTCTGCAGGCAAGTAATCTTTAGGAATCTATCTGCCACTGAGACTGCCTGTGAGGAGGGTCCACCCAGAGCTGGAGCCCCAGGAAAAAACCTGTCTCTCTCCCTCTCTCTTGCACACAGCCCAGGCAAGCACTCCCTCCTTCTCGGCAGCTCAGCTCTCTTCAGGAATTCAGCACAAGTCTCAGCCACACTTTGAAAAGGACATTAAGATGTGAGACCAGCCAGACATCCGCAGCAGCGTGAGCTGCCCAGGGTGGGTAAACCTGGAGGCCAAGCCAGGGGGCCAGCCATGTCCTCAAGGAGACTGTGACCCCCTGAGGTGGCAGTCACCGCAGGCTGCCCTGTGTGTCTCTACACCCTTGCCCTGGCCAGGGCACGGTCCCAGAGCCAACCCCTGATTCTCCTTAGCCAGCTGGGAGACCCTTTTCTTGCTAGGCATCCTTTCTCCACCCCAGTGCCCGCCCCCCCTCCACCTCCCCGAGCAAGAGAGTGCTCAGTGTCAGGGTCTCCAGCTTCATTTCGTGTCAGGCAGAGAGGCAGAGGTGCCCCAAGTGGGGTGGACGTGCCGGGGCTACGGGAGAAGGGAAGCCTCCGCGAAGCCTTCTGTCCAGAACATGCAGTCAAGCCAAACACACACACAGCCCTCTACGCGCCCACCCCATGAAAGCCGCCCCCTCCAGACGCGCGCACAAATGCACCTTCGAATCCGCGCTCACACGCCAAGCCCATCGCCCGCCGTCACAGTCATGAAACACACACACACACACACACACACACACACACACACACACACACACGGTCCCCAGCCAGGGCACAGCAACTTCCTCCCCCCATGTGGAAATCTCCGCAGTTGACCTTAAAGCTTAAACTTTTTCCGAGTGGGTGCCAGGGAACGCACGGGGGAGGACGGGGGATTCTGGGCAGGGTTACCTGGCACTTGGGGTTCCTGACTTCCCTCCCTCTCCCCCACGCCCCTCACCTGGTAAACCGAGGCACAGCAAGAGGCTGTAGTAGACCACGGGCACGAAGCCCAGGCCGCAGGCCGAGCCGGGGGACCACCAAGACAGCGAGCTGTTGGCTGCGAGGTGGGCGTGCGTGTGCTCCATGAGCGCGCCCCTCGCTCCCCTCGCCGCTTCGCGCCCGGCCTGCCAGCCCGACTCTGGTCGCCGGCTTGGTGGCGGCGGCGGCGGAGGCAGCAGCTGGAGCAGCAGCGCCTCTCTCACCGCAGGACTGGCTCCTACCCTTGGCCGTGATCCCCTCTCCTCGCTCCGCACCTGCCCGCCTGGAGTCCCGGCTCAGCCCTCCCGCAGGGCGCGGGGCGCAGGGTGCGGGGCGCGCGGCGCGGGGCCTCGGGAGGGGCTCCCGGAGCCCGTCTGTGCGCCTCCCACCTCGGACCCGCTCCACTCCCGCCTCAAAGCCGGGGGGCTGGGACGCCGCTCCCCGCAGCCAATCAGCGGCTGCCTAGACGCGGAGTCTGTGTGGGGTGGGAGGGATGCGGGAGAGGAGGGGGTCCCAGCCGCCTCGCTTGGCTCCAGTTTCAGGGGAGAAGATGCAGTTAGACCTGGGAACCCCGAAGGAAGACCGGGGTGGAAAATAGGCTACCCCCATCTCCAACCCCGAGGGAGGGGCGTGGTGTGGGTGGGATCTGCCTCTCCCGCAGCGGCTCTTCACTCCTCCAGCGTGTCCTCAGTTTGCCTTTCTCCACTCTCCTCGCAGCCACCTCTCTTGCCCCTTGCCAATGCTTCCAGTCCATCTCCAGAGAGAAGATTCTACACCTAGGGCAAAAAACGGGGGAAGGGGTGGGGCTGTTGGAGCAGCGAGGATGCTAAAGGGTTGACGGTTTTCCTGGACCAGTGGAGCTGAGCTTGCTGGCTCTGGAAAGAGGGGTGCGTGCATCCCTGTGCGTGTGTGTGGCGACTCTGGGGGTGGCCGCCGGTGGACTGTCCCCTAACTGGAGTGCGTTTGAAGAGGATACAGACTGGCTAAGAGAAGCCCCTCCTGCAAGCCGCCCTTCAGTCAGGGATAAGGATGTTGCAGCCACTCAAACACGCACTCGCCCACGCTCACACAAAGACACACAATACCCAGGCATGCGGTGTACTCACACTCTCACTCATGCACGCGGATGCCCTCCCATCCCACACCCAGATCCTTGAAAACACGCAGGCATCCTCATCACCGTGCACAAGACCACACTCACAGGGCACTCCAAACTTGCACAAACGCACGTGGGAGACATGGGGGCTTGTCTAGAGTGCTTGAAGGTTGTGTGAAGGGTAGCATTGGTAAAGCAGGTGGGATCCAAGCAATGTGTGGGTGGGTGATCATTTCTTCTCAGGGCAGGCAGGTGGAGGGTTCCCTGTGTGGCCACCACAGACTTTAGGAGAGAGGGGAGACAGAGAGAGAGAGAGAGAGAGAGAGAGAGAGAGAGAGATCTGTCTGGGGCTCAAGATAGTGAGTGTGAGAGAGTTAAAGATTCTGCAGGAGTACCCAGGCCA